GACGCCACTGCAGTTCCATTGGGCTAACCCTGTTCTTAGGATTTGGAACTCCTTGGTGAAGACACCCACGACAATGTGCCACCGCGCGTTCGTTTCAAACTTGCGCCACCCGCAGGACCCAGCAGAGCCTGCTGATGACGAGATGTACTTTAGTGCTCCAAATAGACCGCACCGCGTCCCACCACGTCATGCTCAGACTCAGTCCACTTGACCAACAAGCCGCTGCTCGCGAGCTACTTGCGATAGTTTCACAAGCCACATTATCATTTAATAAACCGTGCACATTCGGCCGCGGCGTCTATGGCAACATGCAAACCCACCATAGAAACCCCTGCGCCACCATCCTAATAGATATATGCAGCACAGCAGCACCTGCCTAGCCCGCCTGTCCGCGTGCCTAGCCTCGTAACTGTTCGAGGGAATTGTGGTACATCGATCAATCATTTACAAGAAAATATTTCTACAAGCAGTTGTGTCGGGGAAAGAAAATGATTCCGTCAAACAGATCAATCATACTGTCTAGCTCGTCTATCTACCTATCTATCTATCTATCTATCGACTGCTGCAACCGAACGAAGAGATAAAGTGAAACACCTGCCGACTGATGATCTGTAAACATGTCTATATGTCAGTTCATTCATGCAGTACTAAGATGCCATATAGTGCTCCTTATCTTCTGCCTGCTGCTGCACTTGTAGCAACAACAACTTCTACCCCTACTTCCGGCTGCTGCGCTCTCCAGCGCCATGACTGCTCTTACGGCAATCATGGCCCCGTGCGGTAGATGGGGCAGCAGTAGTCCGAGTTGTCCCTGTTGAAGATGCTGGCGTAGCTGCACGGGCGCAGGCAAGATACAGCAGGGGCATGAAGGAGTATTATTAGTGTGGGAAGGAAATACGCGTGTCTTGCACGTGGCGCGGCCGTACATTCGTTAGTTGAGTTGAGAAGGATAGGCCACGCAAACCCCTGCCTCAGGACTTACCACTGGCCAAGGGCTCCCTTGCAGATGTCGCCCATGGTGAACGGGTTCTGAATCGCCACGCAAACCTTGCCGCCGTTGGCTTGCAGCAGGTTCCAGTTGAGATTGACTGCACACACGAAAAAAAGGATGCGCAGACAGGGAACGATGTGATCTTATTTGACATGCAGGCATTAGCGGTGATGGTGCAGCACATGGCAATTGGACAGGTACGGTACGAACAAACCGGCGCATGGCTGGCTACTGAACAGAGTTACTGTAATTGTAACTGCAGCTTAGATGCGTCAGGAGCGAAGGGAGTGTAGCCTCTGCGCTGGGTTTTGTACAGCAGCCGTAGTGCTTGCCATTTTCGGGATTGGGTTATTGAGCTTGACAGCTCCACAGCTCCGGCAATCTTCCTACACTGTTGGAGCTTATTGCTGATCTTTTGATAGGGTCATCGAAGAGGCCTTCCGAGATGCAGGTCCGTCGAGATTTCCTCGAGTGTATTGTAAGTGAAGGTCTCGCACGACAGTTACCCTTGTGACACACGGCAG